ATTATCTGAATAACACCGCTCTATCGCTGTCACCTTTCACAGCAGATGCGGAAATGCGACAGATATCTCTAGCTTAAACGGACTGATTTTTATGGGGATTTTTTTATTAAGCTTATTAGATTTCCGCGGGGGCGAGGACATCGACTCTAAGGGGTTAATGTTGGCATTATAGATCAGATGGCAAACTGCACAGTTAATTACCGTGAAGTGCTTAGCTATAAATGCTTTATGAATGGGAAAATATATTTGACTTTACTTTGACTGCATAGAATTCATACATAGACCCTTAATGTGTGCGTTATAGACCAGTATGACCAATTTAGGCCTAATTGTGATGCGGAGGAGGGCTGTAAATTAGTTATGATAGGGCTGGAAAAGAGTAATGAGATGACCCTCAACTACAGGATTTTATACATTACATTTACACTGAGGATTCAACCCTGTGGAGATCTTCACTCACCATTGACCTCAGTAAGAAGAAGAAGAAGAAGAAGAAGAAGAAGAAGAACAAAGAAGAACAAAGAAGAAGAAGAGGAAAGAAGAACAAAGAAGAAGAAAGAAGAAAGAATACTGACCGGAGGGGGAAATGGGGCAATTACAGGCTATATGTTACAGGCTATATATATCAACATAATTTTCAAAACCGCTTTTGGCCTTTTGGCATATTCACTAACACTGGTAAAACAGAAGCACACTTTGAGAACAGCCATAATGATGACCCTATGCTGTCATTGTAATCATGCATCTATTAAGATGCCTAAATATGAGCTCTTGCATAGCATGACATGAATGTGCTATAGAAATGCTATGGATATATTTAATTAACCTTCAATAATGCAATTGGGACCTATTATAACACATTCATGAAATTCTTATAGATGTGTAATAAATGTGTTATGGATATGTAGTCAAGGTAAATCGTTACCAAAATTAGTAAAAGGCCCAATTGGGACCCATGTTAGAGCCCACATGCCCAACTGAGCAAAAAATATTCACACATTTGTGAATCGTTGCATTAATCAAGTGTGCAACATTATGTGCAATATGGTTTAGATGAGTAGCTCCTGTATAGTTTGAATTGCTATCCTTATTTTGTTTGTCTATATACTATGGTATTTATGGTATGTTTAATAGGTTCACACACACAATTCAGGAATGTGGCTTGGGCCATACCACATCCAATGCTAAAGTAAGTATAGTGTAAACAGAAAAAGTGCAAATCTGATGTTGAAGAGATAGATCTTACTACACATACTTTACTAATGTAAATCCACCCTTAATCTCACACCTAAAGGCAATTAGCAGGCGGATGATGGGGGTTAATGTCTCCTCTGAGAACAGGTAATAATCTCTCCCAGGTGGAGCGCTGTGGTTGCCTACTCAGCACAACACACACACACACACACACACACACACACACACCATAGAGAGAGTTGAAGAGAGAGACACACAGCATCTCTCCACAAGTGTATGCTGTTTGTTCTCTTGGGTATGGTTTGATTTGTATCGTGTGTATGTATTCAGTGATTATGGTGTGTTTTGTTTGTGTATTGTCTCTTGTGTGCATGGAGTGTGTGTACAGTATTTACCTTTTCGAGCATGGTGTTGGTGTATCATGTTTCTCGGTAATGTACAGGCTGTGTAGGGTAAGTGTACCTATTAAGCCCACCAAAATCTAAGTTTAGACATTTCTATCATATACTGCCCTAATGTTTGTAAGAAAGTGGAGATATAATGAAAGATTAATATCTCATGTAAAGTTTTATGACTTTACTTCCAACATTTTTTAATAAGACAAACAAATATTTGATAAAATATGTGAAAAGTCCGGACTGGGCTTAATGGGACCTGAATGTACCCTTTAAGCCCATGGGTGTAACAAATAAGCCCACCTCTTAAATAATTAATTTGAATTAATTTACAAATGTTCAAAACTTCCAAACTGACATTTCTTATGCAAAATGTGATTATTATTAATCTCCCCTAAAGTTAGTAAAATAAACTAATCATTACTATTCATCATGAAAGTAGCACTCATAACAGGGGGGTGTCCAATCATATCCACAGAACATGCTGACCAGAAGCACCATCGCCAGCATGTTGATTTCGCAATACATAGCCCCATCCATCCTCCCCTCAATACGGTGCAGTCGTCCTGTCCCCTTTGCAGAAAAGCATCCCCAAAGAATGATGTTTCCACCTCCATGCTTCACGGTTGGAATGGTGTTCTTGGGGTTGTACTCACCCTTCTTCTTGCTCCAAACACGGCGAGTGGAGTTTAGACCAAAAAGCTCTATTTTTGTCTCATCAGACCACATTACCTTCTCCCATTCCTCTTCTGGATCATCCAGATGGTAATTGGCAAACTTCAGACGGGCCTGGACATGCGCTGGCTTGAGCAGGGGGACCTTGCGTGCGCTGCAGGATTTTAATCCATGACGACGTAGTGTGTTACTAATGGTTTTCTTTGAGACTGTGGTCCCAGCTCTCTTCAGGTCATTGACCAGGTCCTGCCGTGTAGTTCTGGGCTGATCCCTCACCTTCCTCATGATCATTGATGCCCCACGGGGTGAGATCTTGCATGAAGCCCCAGACCGAGGGTGATTGACCGTCATCTTGAACTTCTTCCATTTTCTAATAATTGCGCCAACAGTTGTTGCCTTCTCACCAAGCTGCTTGCCTATTGTCCTGTAGCCCATCCCAACCTTGTGCAGGTCTACAATTTTATCCCTGATGTCCTTACACAGCTCTCTGGTCTTGGCCATTGTGGAGAGGTTGGAGTCTGTTTGATTGAGTGTGTGGACAGGTGTCTTTTATACAGGTAACGAGTTCAAACAGGTGCAGTTAATACAGGTAATGAGTGGAGAACAGGAGGGCTTCTTAAAGAAAAACTAACAGGTCTGTGAGAGCCGGAATTCTTACTGGTTGGTAGGTGATCAAATACTTATGTCATGCAATAAAATGCAAATTAATTACTTAAAAATCATACAATGTGATTTTCTGGATTTTTGTTTTAGATTCCGTCTCTCACAGTTGAAGTGTACCTATGATAAAAATTACAGACCTCTACATGCTTTGTAAGTAGGAAAACCTGCAAAATCGGCAGTGTATCAAATACTTGTTCTCCCCACTGTAGGTTGGAATATGGCAATTAAGCTAGCTAGCTTGCTGTTGCTAGCAGGTAGCGTTCTCCTGGCATCCGCCAAACCCAGATTAGTCCGATTCCTCTGTTCCAGAGTCCAATGTCGGCGAGCTTTATACCACTACAGCAGACGCTTGGCATTGCGCATGGTAATCTTGGGCTTGTGTGTGGCTGCTCGGCCATGGAAACCCATTTCATGAAGCTCCCGACGAACAGTTCTTGTGCTGACGTTGCTTCCAGAGGCAGTTTGGAACTCGGTAGTGAGTGTTGCAACCGAGGACAGACGATTTTTACGCACTACGCACTTCAGCACTCGGCGGTCCCGTTCTGTGAGCTTATGTGGCCTACCACTTCGCGGCTGAGCCGTTGTTGCTCCTAGACATTGCCACTTCACAATAACAGCACTTACAATTGACCGGGAACAGCTCTATTAGGGCAGAAATTTGACGAACTTACTTGTTGGAAAGGTGGCATCCTCTGACGGTGCCACGTTGAAAGTCACTGAGTTATTCAGTAAGGCCATTCTACTGCCAATGTTTGTCTATGGAGATTGCATGGCGGTGTGCTCGATTTTATACACCTGTCAGCAACGGGTGTGGCTGAAATAGCCGAATCCACTCATTTGAAGGGGTGTCCACATACTTTTGTGTATATAGTGTATGTGCTCGGCTATGCACCAGCCATGCTGTGTGTTGATAGCACCTGGCTCGCTCTGGTCTGTGTGGTATGGGGTGATGATAAGGCCTGATTGTGTGGCAGTCACACTAGCCTCGGAGCAGACAGGCTCGCAGTGGAGTAGACGACTGAGGGGGGTGACTGCGCTGACAGCTGGCCTCTATAAATAAACGTTGCAGGCAGGGGGTGGGGAGGGAGGGACGTGGAGGTCTGAGGCACACGGTGGATATCCTGCTGTCTGCGACATACATGACTCACTAAACACATGCTGCGCGGGCCTATCAGGGGCGAGGATATAGGTCACGTGACGCAGCGTGCTGTATGTCGCTCTGGCAGCATGATCACATAGGACCTCTCTTGGTCTTCCTCTTTCGTTCTCGCTCTGTCTCGCTCTTTCTTTTTCTTTCCAGCTCATCACTGTCCCTGCAAATCTGGGGCGTCGGACAGGGAGAAAGATAGAAAGAGAACTAGTCCTGCTGCACTAAGCAGAGATGGACGCCCAAGGCCTGTTCCTGGGCCTGCTGCTAACTAGTGACAAGTGATTGAGATGTATCAGCAAATAGACCCCTTTCACTTGTTTATCTCGGGTTACAATGGAGCTGGAGGTGTGCTCGGCATGGGCCGGCTGGTTGCCTAGAGAGGCACAGCTCCTCTGTCATGGGGTAAGATAAGGAGCGGGAGTTTGGTTTCTCATCCGGCACGCCGGCCGACGGATCGTCTTTGAGCCCAGCGGCTAGGGTTCCTCTGGCCCTGTGGAAGGTCTGGTTTATCAGGACACAGGGAGGAAGGGGGGAGAGAGGGGTTACTGTTAAGCTATCTCGGAATGGGCCTCTTCTCTGAAGTAGCGGTTACCAGTTCACAGACAGACAGACACACACAAACACACAGCAGTACAGGAAGCCTCTCGCCGACTTCCTGTATTTTCTGCTTGCATAACAAGCCATAAACAGACATGGGGAGATTTGCACGAGAAGACACGTTTCTGCCAATGAACGTGTTTGTAGTAGTGCACCCACCATGTGATTCACGGCAGCGAAACAGCCCTATTACTTCATCAATGTGCGCACATACTGTATACCACCAATACATAACATTCCATTGAGTTTCGAAACAATCTGAAAGGTGAGATTCCCCACTCACACATTTGAACAATAGCCAAGTGTCCTGTGATTGTGTGTTGCAGCCGTTTGCACAATGGTGTTGTCTCCAGCCCAAAGATACTGCCAAGATGCCAGAGAGCGCGTGGAAGCTGGTCTTCTACACCATGTCCTGGTCTTACAGCACCTACCTGCTCTTCTTCACCAACTACACCTTCTTCCACGACCCGCCCTCCGTATTCTATGGTAAGACGTAGGACATGAAACAAGGTAAAATAGTCAGTAGTTGAAGAAGAAAGGGTGGTTTAAACTTAACTACAGTTAAGCAATGATAACATAAGCATTAAGGCATCTGTAAGAAAGCATTAAAACCTTTAAAGCCTTGAAGAGGTCTGCATTCTTCAAAGTTACCTTTAACCTTCTCTTTTTTACTTTTACAAGTATTTAAGAAGAGAAGGTCTGCACTCTTCGAAGTTTCCCTTTTTCTACTAATAACTCCAGTTAACCTCTTAAGGATCTGACCTTTTTGTCAATTTCCGCCTAAAATGACATACCCAAATCTAACTGCCTGTAGCTCAGGACCTGAAGCAAGGATATGCATATTATTGATACCATTTGAAAGGAAACACTTTGAAGTTTGTGGAAATGTGAAATTAATGTAGGAGAATATAACACATTAGATCTGGTAAAAGATGATACAAACAAAAAAACATGTTGTTGTTTTTAGTTTTTTTCATAATCTTTGAAATGCAAGAGAAAGGCCACAATATAATATTGCAGTTTAGGCGCAATTTAGATGTTGGCCACTACATAGCAGCAGTGTGTGTGCAAAGTTTCAGATTGATCCACTGAAGCGTCGCAATACTAGACTATTTTGTATCAAGTCTGCCCAAATGTGCCGAATTGGTCAATTGATACATTTTCAAGTACATAACTATAGAGAACATACAAAAGTGATATGGTAATACAACATTTATGTTTTCACACTCCCAGGAATGTCATACATGATGGATCAATAGCTTATACACTAACTTTCACACATCTAGATGGCCGGGCAGGGTGGGTATGGAGCCAGAGAGGGGTTCAAACTTTAGAATCCAGTTCCTACATTTGAATATAAAAATTGATTTTATCAAACAAAACTATGCTACTTTTTATCTCTGGGACCCTTAGGATGACAAATCAGAGCAAGATGACTGAATGTAAGTACATGATTTACCTTCAGAGGTGAATGCATCAAACCAGTTGCCGTGCTACATTTTTTGTTGTTGTGCACTCTCCTCAAACAATAGCATGGTATTTTTCACTGTAATAGCTACTGTAAATTGGACAGTGCAGTTAGATCAACAAGAATGTAAGCTTTCTGCCCATATAAGACATGTCTATGTCCTGGAAAGTTTGGTGTTACTTACAACAGTCATGCTAATCACATTAGCGTACGTTAGCTCAACCGTCCCGTATACGGGACACCGATCCCGTAGAGGTTAATTAACGATAGATAACTTAATAACTAAAGTAACCAAAGCATTGCAACCTTCAAAGCCTTGACCTATTGAACCCTCCGGATGCTTCTTTTACAAGTATTCAAATAGAAGCCACATTTGTGTTTTATATTTGCATTTTGTGTCTGAACTGACCACAGGGCATCTCTACTCTGTAACCATTGCCCTACACAACCCACTATCATCCTTTCAGTCCTACAATATCAATTGTCATTATTTTATCTTTAATTTATGGCATCCCTTCCTTCCGATTCCATCAGACTTTCAGGTGTCAGTCGGTGCTTGGGTTCGTTTCAATCTCCCATTTCCTCGATTGAGGCGATCAGTTGTTCTTTAAAAGGCCCTGCACTTTTCTAATAGCTGTCACTCACATTGATAGTAGTCATTCAACCTGCTCAGGCAATGTGGCTCTGCTCTTAGTTCTCCTAGAGAGAGAGATGCTTTAGCTCTTGTAGAAAGAGAGAAGGGAAGGGAGAGAGAGAGAGGCTCCTATTCCTGGAGCACTTTAATATCTCTTGCCGCCGCTTTTTCAATGTTTAATGATGGAACATCTGATCAATAAACATTACGGCCTGTAACCTCATCTCATGGAGTCAAAAGTTGCCCCAAACGTTCCGAGACAAAGTTTCTGTTTACGATACCCTTAATGCCTTAAGGGAACGATGATGATGACCCCTGGTCCTCACATGCCTGGAAAACCTGATGCCATTGCTGCTCCCACATCAGGTATTCCTCTGGAAGTCACCTAGTATAACCAAACAGAGCAGCTGCCCCCTGCAGAACCAAAAACAAACACTGTAAGCTTCTAGCCAGTTAGACTGTATGTAGGTCAATAATGTTTTATCTGGTTTGATTACCTTACATGGAGGATTTGGCTCACTCTCGTATATTGTCGCTGTAACAAATGGGATGGGCTAGCTGAGGAGTGGTTTGGTGGGGGAACAGGGCCTCGTACTTAGAACAAGAAAAGAGAGTGAGCAGAGAGGGAAGCCGAAAGCGAGGAGAGCGAAGAGAGAGAGAGAGAGAGGAGAGAGAGTAGAGAGAGAGACGCAGACGAGAGAGAGAGCGAGAGAGAGACGAGAGAGAGAGGAGAGAGAGGAGAGAGAAGAGAAAGAGGCAGCAGAGACTCCCTATCTCTCTCTTCTCTCGCTCTCTTCTCTCCTTCTACTATCTAGTCTCTGCTCTCTCTCTCTCTCTCTCTCTCTCTCTCTCTCTCTCTCCTCTCTCTCTCTCTCTCTCTCTCCCCTCCCCCTCCCAGACTGGAAGAGTGGCATGACGGTGCCCACGGACATCGCCATCGCCTACCTGATCCAGGGCAGCTTCTACGGACACTCCATCTACGCCACGGTCTACATGGATGACTGGAGGAAGGATTCTACCGTCATGGTGGTGCACCACCTTGTCACCCTGGCCCTCATCACCTTCTCCTACGCTTTCAGGTAGCTAACCACTCCCTGCCTGGTGGCCCCAAGTTTGGGAAACGCTGCCCAAATGTGATGCAGTGTAATCTTACTACCTTTCAAAGAAAATTGATGGAATACTGGCAACATTTCCGTGTAGTAATAGTTGTAAATGATAGATGTAGGTCAAGGTTTTATTTTTACGCTATGTCAATTTGTGGAATCAGAACGTCGATTTGTCATAGTGTAAAAAGGCTACAGGTTATTTGATGCTGGAAAAAAATTATCGGTGTTATTTGATGACTGTTAGACTATTCCCCTACTTCAAACAGTATTTGTTTTAAAGTCACTCCTTGTTATTGACTAAAACTAACCCTTTGGCTGTCACATTGTATCATCTAGCTAACAGCACAGCTGTGTCCTTGGCTAATTTTGTTTGTGTACTGACGCTGTGCTCCCCACTGCTCTCTCCTTTCAGATTCCACAACATCGGGTTGCTGGTGCTGTTCCTCCACGACATCAATGACATCCAGCTGGAGTTCACCAAGCTCAACGTCTACTTCAAGACCCGGGGAGGGGACTACTACCTCATCCACGACATCTTGTCCAACATGGGCTCTGTCAGCTTCAGCATCACCTGGTGAGGAGAGAGAAGACACACACAGACAAGCACACACACGCATGACAAAATACTACAGTTTACTATAGAATACTACAGTGCTTACTATAGAATTCGCTGATCCTCAACACTGGGGCCCCACAAGGGTGTGTGCTCAGCCCCCTCCTGTACTCCCTGTTCACCCATGACTGCGTGGCCAAGCACGCCTCCAACTCAATCATCAAGTTTTCCGATGACACAACAGTAGTAGGTTTGATTACCAACAGCGGTGAGACAGCCTACAGGGAGGAGGTGAGGGCTCTCGGAGTGTGGTGTCAGGAAAATAACCTCTCACTCAACGTCAACAAAACAAAGGAGATGATCATGGACTTCAGGGAGTACCCCCCTATCCACATCGACGGGACAGCAGTGGAGAAGGTGGAAAAGTTTTAAGTTCCTCTGCGTACATATCACTGACAAACTGAAATGGTCCACCCACACAGACAGTGTGGTGAAGAAGACTCAACAGCGTCTCTTCAACCACAGGATGCAGAAAAAATGTGGCCTGTTTCTTAAAACCCTCACAAACTTTTACAGATGCACAATTGAGAGCATCCTGTCAGGCTGTATCACACAACCGCCCACAACCGCAGGGCTCTCCAGAGGGTGGTGCGGTCTGCACAACACATTACCGGGGGCAAACTACCCGCCCTCCAGGACACCTACAGCACCCGATCAAAAAGATAATCAAGAACAACAAACACCCGAGCCACTGCCTGTTCACCCCGCTATCATCCAGAAGGCGAGGTCAGTACAGGTGCATCAAAACTGGGACAGAGAGACTGAAAAACTGCTTCTATCTCAAGGCCATCAGACTGTTAAACAGCCATCACTAGCACAGAGAGCTGCTGCCTACATACAGACTTCAAAATCACTGGCCACTTTAATAAATGGAACACTAGTCACTTTAATAATGCCACTTTAATAATGTTTACATATTTTGCATTACCCATCTCATATGTATATACTGTATTCTATACTATCTATTGCATCTTAGCCTATGCCGCTCTGACAATGACATTGCTCATCCATATATTTATATATTCTTATTCCATTCCTTTACTTAGATTTGTGTGTATTAGGTATTTGTTGTGGAACTGTTAGATATTACTTGCTAGATATTGCTGCACTGTCAGAACTAGAAGCACAAGCATTTCGCTACACTCGCAATAACATCTGCTAACCATGTGTATGTGACCAATACATTTGATTTGATTTGAATTCTATAGTAAACTGTAGAATACTATACTACACATTGTAGTAGCCCTGGATAATGTGTAGTACCGTATTTTCCGCACTATAAGGCGCACCGGATTATAAGGCGCACCTTCAATGAATGGCCTATTTTAGAACTGTTTTCATATATAGGGCGCACCGGATTATAAGGCGCATAGAATAGAAGATACTGTAGTCAAACGAATTGACTGGGGTTGCGTTATGCATCCACTAGATGGAGCTGTGCTAAAAGGAATGTCAACAAAACAGTCAGATAAAGTCAAACTTTATTAAGCGTTCTGACAACTCCGTTCACTCCCATGGTAATGTTGTTCAAACGTTAATGTGCATATTAACAATATCTCCCAGCCTTGCTCACTCTTCTCCCAAACGTGGAGGGGAACCTTTCCCTGATTCAGTAAACACGTAGTAAAAGAAACAGTCTGATAGCACTAAATCAAACGTTAGTGCATAACTCAACATTGTTCAGTTACATATAACACGTAAAGCTCACTTTTTCAGTTCATTCCCCATCCACGAACCCCTCGAATTCTTCTTCTTCAGTGTCCGAATTGAACAGTTGGGCGACTACGGCATCCAACCTGCCCGGCTCCCTCTCGTCATTATCCGAGTCAGTGTCGCTGCTGTTGCCTGGCAGTTCAGAGATTATTCCTGCCTTCGTGAAAGCTTTGACCACAGTTGAGACCGATATATCAGCCCAGGCATCCACGATCCATTGGCAGATAGTGGCGTAAGTCGCCCGGCGCTGTCTCCCCGTCTTGGTGAACGTGTGTTCGCCTTCTGTCATCCACTGCTCCCACGCAGCTCGCAGTCTAGCTTTGAACGCCCTGTTGACACCAATATCTAGCGGCTGGAGTTCTTTAGTTAATCCACCCGGAATGACGGCAAGCTCCGAATTAGTTTGCTTCACTTGTTTTTTGACAGCATCGGTGATATGGGCGCGCATTGAGTCGTAGATCAATAGGGACGGAGCTGTGTGGAAAAAGCCACCCGGTCTCTTGACGTAAATTTCTCTCAGCCACTCACTCATCTTTTCCTCATCCATCCATCCCTTCGGGCTAGCTTTGATGACGACGCCGGCTGGAAAGTTCTCTTTTGGCAAGGTCTTCCTCTTGAAAATAATCATGGGTGGAAGTTTCTGGCCATTAGCCTGGCAGGCGAGAACTACAGTGAAGGATGACTTCTCATTCCCTGTGGTACGTACAGACACCGTACTGGTCCCCGTTTTCTCCACAGTGCGGTTCACGGGAATATCAAAGGTGAGTGGAACCTCGTCCATGTTGGTGATGTGCTCTGGCCGGATCTTCTTTTCAGTGATCTTCTTTTTGCAGTATGCGCGGAAAGTGACCAGCTTTTCTTGGTAATCTTTTGGCAGTTGCTGCGAGACGGTAGTTCGTGTGCGGATGGAGAGATTACGTCTTTTCATAAAACGAAAGCACCAAGAAGGACCGCCTCGAAATTCATCGATTGTCATGTCCCGTGCTAGCGCTGTTGCCTTCATTCGAATAGTGACTGTAGAGACGCTTCTACTTGCTGCTCTCTGTTCAACAACCCACTGTTCGAGTTTGTCCTCTAACTGTGGCCCTCTCGCTTTGTTCCCGCGGAAACTCTGTTTAGTCTTCTTTACTTGGCGCAGGTCATCTTCTTGCTTCCTCCACTTCCGTACCATTGATTCATTAATGTTGAATTCTCTCGCTGCTGCTCTATTGCCATATTCTACTGCATGACCGACAGCCTTGAGCTTGAACTCTGCGTCGTAAGCGTGTCTCTTGAAAGGTGCCATTTTGGGGTCTTTATACACACACAAGTGGTGTGGGACTGTGAGTAAGCACAATACCGGTGTGTACTGGCTACCGTAATGCTGCAAGTGGTGCGGCTTTGTAGTTTACCAGTCGTACTGAAACATTTCATTATTATTAAATTGTTTTTATTGGTTTTTCATACTGAAACATTTTGACAGAGCACCTTGAGCGCCGTGTACAACCAGTATGGATCAACCAATTAACCAATTGATCCATATATAAGGCGCTCCGAATTATAAGGCGCACTGTCGTTTTTTGAGAAAATTAAAGGCTTTTAAGTGCGCCTTATAGTGCGGAAAATACGGTACTTGTAGTATACTGTAGTAAATACTACAGTATTATCCACAAAAAAACACTGTAATAAATACTACAGTAATGTCCTCCAAAACACTACAGTCCGCAAAAACACATCCTTTTTTAACTATAGTAAATACTACAGTATTTAATTTGCATATAACCTGCCCATTCCCCTCCCCCATATTGCAATTTGTGCCATCCATTATTGAGAAACCTACATGCCAAGTATAGACCATATTGCATTCCCTACAGGTTATTGAAAAGAGCAGAAGCGCTGAACTATCTGTTCAGAACCCCCAGTCCTACAGGTTATGGAAAATGTGCTCTTTTAGTATTTCTCTAGTAGGTTTCCTGAAGGAGAAAGCCTCCACTTCTATGTCAAAGATAATACAACAAAAACAGAATAGTAAATACTACAGTAATGTCTGCAAAGATACTACAGTAAATATTACAGTATAGTACAGTCCTCAAAAACACTACAGTATATACTACAGTATATTACAGTCTGCAAAAACACTCCAGTAAATACTACAGTAAATATTGCAGTATAGTACAGTCTGCAAAAACACTACAGTAAATAGTACAGTAATGTCTGCAAAAACACTACAGTAAATACTATAGTATACTACAATCTGCAAAAACACTACATTAATTACTATAGTATATACAGTGAGGGAAAAAAGTATTTGATCCCCTGCTGATTTTGTACGTTTGCCCACTGACAAAGAAATTATCAGTCTATAATTTTAATGGTAGGTTTATTTGAACAGTGAGAGACAGAATAACAACAACAAAATCCAGAAAAACGCATGTAAAAAATGTTATAAATTGATTTGCATTTTAATGAGGGAAATAAGTATTTGACCCCCTCTCAATCAGAAAGATTTCTGGCTCCCAGGTGTCTTTTATACAGGTAACGAGCTGAGATTAGGAACACACTCTTGTTACCTGTATAAAAGACACCTGTCCACAGAAGCAATCAATCAATCAGATTCCAAACTCTCCACCATGGCCAAAACCAAAGAGCTCTCCAAGGATGTCAGGGACAAGATTGTAGACCTACACAAGGCTGGAATGGGCTACAAGACCATCGCCAAGCAGCTTGGTGAGAAGGTGACAACAGTTGGTGCGATTAAGAAACACAAAATAACTGTCAATCTCCCTCGGCCTGGGGCTCCATGCAAGATCTCACCTCGTGGAGTTGCAATAATCATGAGAACGGTGAGGAATCAGCCCAGAACTACACGGGAGGATCTTGTCAATTATCTCAAGGCAGCTGGGACCATAGTCACCAAGAAAACAATTGGTAACACACTACGCCGTGAAGGACTGAAATCCTGCAGCGCCCGCAAGGTCCCCCTGCTCAAGAAAGCACATATACAGGCCCGTCTGAAGTTTGCCAATGAACATCTGAATGATTCAGAGGAGAACTGGGTGAAAGTGTTGTGGTCAGATGAGACCAAAATCGAGCTCTTTGGCATCAACTCAACTCGCCATGTTTGGAGGAGGAGGAATGCTGCCTATGACCCCAAGAACACCATCCCCACCGTCAAACATGGAGGTGGAAACATTATGCTTTGGGGGTGTTTTTCTGCTAAGGGGACTGGACAACTTCACCGCATCAAAGGGACGATGGACGGGGCCATGTACCGTCAAATCTTGGGTGAGAACCTCCTTCCCTCAGCCAGGGCATTGAAAATGGGTTGTGGATGGGTATTCCAGCATGACAATGACCCAAAACACACGGCCAAGGCAACAAAGGAGTGGCTCAAGAAGAAGCACATTAAGGTCCTGGAGTGGCCTAGCCAGTCTCCAGACCTTAATCCCATTGAAAATCTGTGGAGGGAGCTGAAGGTTCGAGTTGCCAAACGTCAGCCTCGAAACCTTAATGACTTGGAGAAGATCTGCAAAGAGGAGTGGGACAAAATCCCTCCTGAGATGTGTGCAAACCTGGTGGCCAACTACAAGAAACGTCTGACCTCTGTGATTGCCAACAAGGGTTTTGCCACCAAGTACTAAGTCATGTTTTGCAGAGGGGTCAAATACTTATTTCCCTCATTAAAATGCAAATCAATTGATAACATTTTTGACATGCATTTTTCTGGATTTTGTTGTTGCTATTCTGTCTCTCACTGTTCAAATAAACCTACCATTAAAATTATAGACTGATCATGTCTTTGTCAGTGGGCAAACGTACAAAATCAGCAGGGGATGAAATACTTTTTTCCCTCACTGTACTACAGATTTATTTTACTACAGTATTTTCACTATAAAGTTAACTTTAAATACTACAGTATACTACAGTGGCTCCTGAGTGGCGCAGTGGTCTAAGGCACTGCATCGCAGTACTAACTGTGACACTAGAGATCCTGGTTCGAATCCAGGCTCTGTCGCAGCTGGCCGCGACCGGGAGACTCATGGGCGGCGCACAATTGGCCCAGCGTCGTCCAGGGTAGGGGAGGGAATGGCCGGCAGGGATGTAGCTCAGTTGATAGAGCATGGCGTTTGCAACGCCAGGGTTGTGGGTTCGATTCCCACGGGGGGCCAGTATAAAAAAATATATATATGTGTTCACTAACTGTAAGTCGCTCTGGATAAGAGCGTCTGCTAAATGACTAAAATGTAAAATGTAAAATGTACAGTAAAAACAGTCCGCAAAAACACTACAGTGAATATTATATAGTATTTTTTCATGTGGGAAGGGCACGCACGCACTCCCATACACACACACACACACACACACACACACACACACACACACACACACACACACACACACACACACACACACACACACACACACACACACACACACACACACACACACACACACACACACACACACACACACCACACACACACACACACACACACACACACACACACACACACACACACACACACACACACACACACACCTGTCCTGAGAGATCACAAGGGTGTTTGAAGCCCTGGACAGTGCTAGTCTTTGTCCCTTAAAGCATCTGAGTAATACAGCTCCTCTGTGTCCCTCCTCTGTGCAGGTTTTGGTTCCGTCTCTACTGGTTCCCTCTGAAGGTCCTGTACGCCACCTGTGTGTCCAGCCTCCAGTCCGTCTCAAACATACCCTTCTATTTCTTCTTCAACTTCCTCCTCTTAACACTCCTCTGCATGAATATCTACTGGTTTTTGGTGAGTATTGGACATCCATCTGCAGCAGCAGGTCACAAATCTCACAGTGGCGTGCACACATACTGTACCGTAGCTCATTTGTCAGATGCTTGGTAAAACAAGACTAATCTAAGTCAGAGAGGGTATTCGCTCACAGATTTATGTTCCTAAGAAGTTAATAACATTGCATGACAGTTCTATGACCGTTGCCTGGTCTTCTTTGTTCCTATTAGCCTCCTCTGTCAGGGGTTGATACAAGCATTAAAAAGAAACTGCACTGACTATGTGACATCAGACCTCTCTCCCCTCTTTAACCCCTGACCCCCCCCCCTCTCTGCCTACAGTTTATAGTGGCGTTTGTAGCGAAGGTCCTGACGGGGCAGATGAAGGGTGTGAAAGACCTGAGGGAGTACGAGGGCGAGGAGGCAGCTCAGAGGGCCGCAGCCCTGCTCAAGGCCCAGCAGCAGCCGCAGGGTGAAGATGCAGGACATCTCAACAACTCTGCTGAAGGGTGAGGAAACACAGTCACACACACACTACTTTACCACGTTGCATTTAACCAGTGGATATGAATCACCAAATTATATGTATTATAGTATACATTACCGTGAATGTTTTACTGTACTGAAGTAATGTCACAACCATACACTATACAGAAATCTCTGGGAGACCATCATTTCAAAACATCCAGAGAGAAAGTTTTTGTCAGGCAAACCTTAAGAGATTATGACCCCTTGGCCTCAGATGACTCTGTAAATTCAATTACTCATGCTGGGGTATCTCAGCTCACAATTCATTGAACACCATGTGTGTCCATAGCCGTCCCAAACCACAATGCCTAATCCCTACTGATTTACCAAAGCAAACCACACCAGCAAACCACACCAAGCCAAAAATCCTCTGCTGAGCCAGCCCTCACATCCACTGCTTAATCCCACTTTATACTACAGCCCGGTCCAAAAACAACCTTGACACTCTTCCCCTCGCCCCGGCCCCTTCATATCTGGATTCAGTGACATATAAGGGCTAGAGGCTAGGCTAGGGGAAGGAAGTAGGGGTTGTTGTTGGACTAGCTCGACCTGTACACTTAGAAAAAGTCTGTCCCCATAGGAGAACCCGTTTTGGTTCCTGGTAGAACCCTTCTTTTTTTCTCTACTGTACAAAGGGTTCTCCTATGGGGACAGAGTGTAGACAACCATTCATCACACTGTAAACCTCATGCCTAAAACAAACCCTTTCCAAACAACCCCTACGCCCTTCAGTTCATGCAGATCTGAAATAACCAGATACAGTAGGTGTGATGAATATGGCAGACTACAGTCGAAAAAAGCGTCAGCCCCATGCAAAGATTCATATTGTTGTTCTGGGACATCCTTGGGGGTAGCTGTCCTCTTTCTTCTTCTTGGAATTCTATTTAGTATTCCTTTAAGCTGATTGGAGGCTGAGGTGGTGCCATCATTATATTGTTATCGGGTTGTGAAGATTGCCATCCACCACACCCATGTTAAATCTTATATCACACCATGCTCCAAAGAGCTCTCCCCTTGAGTAAGTGCCTCTGCTATAGCGTGACACACCTGGATCTGTTCCCAGTCCCCTCTTGTAACCCCAGTAACCTGTGCTCTGTCAGACCATCCAGTATGACCTCAGAGCTGCAGCACGTGGCCTTGTCTTGTGTAACATACAGATAGACAGGATCAACGCGCTGCACTTATTGAGGTGTGATTATGCAGTACGGCCTGACCCAGCCCTTATCTGGCGCCTTTGAACACCAGTGATATCCTTTTGGTTTTACTGTGTGTATGCATATCTGATCACCTTTCCACTAGCTGACAATTGGTCCATTTTCTTCCTCCCTCCTTTCTTCTCACAGGAAGCACGTGCAGAACGGGATCACTAAGGAGAAGCATCTATAATGGCCTCTCTAGCTCCACCTTCTGGCACTTAACTCTGAATGCAAGCAACGCGACCTAGATTGTTTCAGATTTAGGTCTAAGTGACTCAAGGGGTCTCGCGAAAAGGATGAAAAAACAATTGATCATTTTTATTTCGTTTTTTAATTTCAACGTGTTTTATTTGTTTAAAAAAAAAAAGTATATCACTGCGAATGTTATTTCAGGTGACCTTTGTCTTATATTAACATTATGTTTGAAGAAAGAAAAGGTGTGAGTTTTGGGAATGTCCTCTCGTGTAGCCTACCAGGGCGTTTAGAAGTCGTGTCAGCTCTGACCAACACTCGCAAGACAAGGTTGAGCTACTGATGCTTAGGCGTCTAGTCTACACCTATACAAACTAGATAATGTGCACACATTAGAGGACTAAAGCATTCATACAGTAACCATGTCAAAGGTCCTTTCTAGTATAGAGACCTGGATCTGTCTTTTTAAAGAGCGTTCCTCTTAAAAGCGTAGTGGCTTTTTTAGTTCCTATCCCCTCTTACTCCAGGAGTGTATGCTAAAATACTAAAAGGGAAGTATTGTATCATGTTACTACCGCGAGTGTGAGAGTGCATGTTATGAGCTGGTTTTGTTTTACCAACATGTATTGATTTTCATATCATTGCACAGATAGATAGTGAACACAGACATTACCCCAGCCTGACCTGCATTATTTGAAGAGCCACGTAGGTGTAGTATTGATGTGTCTTGTAAATGTGAATGACTCGTGTTCAGATTTTTAAGGGAAACATAAACTCTTTCAACTTTTTTTCTTACTGTCGATAAATACGCATTGGAAATATTGCTTGCATTCCTGTATTGAAAATGTAATGTCACATTTTCTGTTTTTATAGCATCTGTTGTTGCACTGAAATGAAGGCATACAAGCTGATAGCTGGTTAATGACAGCCGATGTAGCTGAAATTGATTGATTGGGTTGAGGATCATCCTTATGATTTCGTTAAAGAAATGAATTTGACTAATCTTAATAACCAATATGTTGGCGGTTCACAGAAAGCAAAGGGCCCTTGTGTAAAAGAAGATCAAAATCAAATATGAAAAACATTTATGCACATATGGTATTCAGGAATGCATGACATTGGAATGGTTTTTAGAATATGCTATGAAGTCATTTTTTAATAACACAAATGAAGAAAGAACTACATAGACTTATTCTTGATCAATGTGCAGAACTCATCTTAAAAAAAAGTCATTTGAGCAGACACCACCACACCATCATACAGTCCAAATGGTTCGGTGTCCTCTTTACATTTGAATGTGCTCCTGGTTGTGTGTGCCTGTGTGCTACAACTGTCCAGGTTTTCTTTGCTGTGACTTATAGGGGGTGCTGTCCTTTTCGATCAAATTCAAGCTCTTTCGTTATGATGAACAGCATGCTTGTGCTGGAACAGGCCACAGATGTGGGCAGGTGGAAATGTCCATAGTTGTGGACGTGTCTTTCAGTCCCCAGCTACCACTAGTGCCAGTGCCCGGGATTACCTAGCTTTTGATTTTACATTCAAACATTGTCATTATTATTATGATTATGATAGATTTGTTAAATTTCTGCTGTTTCTGAGAACACTGTAATCCAGTCGTGTCCCTTTTCGTGTGTATGCGTCTGTTAATAGTTTGGGACAGATGAGGTGCCCTGATATCTACCATGGTACTGTCCACAAAGGTCCGTGTGCACTTTGCCTCCACCTCGGCCCAGCTCTCTCCCGGTCTCTCCTCTCCACCAAAGACAAACACCACCAACAACCTGATTGGCTCTGTGAGGTGAAACTACTCACAGCAAATTCACTCTAAAACAAAATAGGTCGTTTAAGTTTACTTTTGAGGCAGATTTCGCTGTTCTTGTTTACCAGCATTGAATACAAAAGTCCATCCGGTTCTTGATGAAAATGTGGAAACATTTTGTGGAAGAAGTATTATGTTATGCATTTCCTTTGATAGTTTAAGAATGTGCCAAAAATGTTGACCTTTATCACTGAGAAGTGTTCTGATGAGAGGCCTGGTTGGGACCTGAGTGGCTAGAGGAGGGAGAGGGAGGTTGTAGTGAATATGAAGGGCTTACACCCTACAGGTGTTTCTTACTAACTGCACTGTCATTTTTATAATTGTTTATTAGAAAAAAAGGGAAATCAGGGGAGAATTTGGTCATTTGTAAGACTTTCTGGGCGTTAAGAATAAAATGAAGTATGACGTTAAATAGTGAATAGGTTTTAGGTAAATAGCATAATGTCTTGGACCATTAACACACTGCAAGGTCTCTAACATCAGCCTAATTTTCCCCCACTCTTAAAGTTTTAATCTGACCGCTTTGTAAATGTGACCACTTGGAAATGATAGGTATTTACTCTTTTGTAATACTTTTTGTTTGTTTGTTTGTTATATTTCCATTCAACCAGTGTTATTGTAGCATGTCTTCCCTTAAAATAAAACATGTAAATAAATAAAAAAGAAACCGGGGTCCCTGAGTTATTTCTACAAATTAATTTATTCTTTGTCATTTTCATTGCAAGAATCAAGTTTATGTGGACCAGGTAAAACACAGTCGAGACAGAAAAGTAAAATGTAGGTGTTGGACAAAAAGAGTCTCCAAAATAGGAGGAGAGTTCAAGTCAGTGCACAGTTCAGCATAGTCTGCTTCAATAAATTAAAAAATATATGTACCACACAACTTTGTACCTTGTGTAGATAGGCGAATCTCGACAGTCCATTTGCTCTCACTGACTGCGGGAGCGACATGGCATGCAGTATCACATGTAAGAATACCAACTACAGCACTCAAGCACTGTCTCCTCTCCCCTCCTCGCTTAACTCAAGATCAAAGACTGTCAGGGATATAGACAAAGACACGGGACAACACATTGACATTACCAGGTCCAATTTGATCTACCAACACGTCTTGCCTTTTAAGACTTAAATTGATGATGATAAGGAGAGCAAGGGGGGATTTCAACATGCTATGTCTGCACATCGATGTGGAGCTCACCGTGTTGCAATAGACATGTTCAGATAGACTGAGCCAGAATCGTGTTGGTAGACCGTGACCTTATTGCAACACTGCATACATCTCTGATTAACATATTTGTGGGAGGGGAGGGTCTCATGTTTTCACATTTTCAAAGGGCATTTGTAATCAAAATGAAGTCACACAGTGACACCAGTAAACTAGTCTACAAAGGGGTGAAACTGAAAAATTATAGAATGTAAATTATTTTCTATAACCATACTTACCCTAGTGATGGCAATGGGTAGTATGGGGGACAATTCATCATTCTAAATGCATGTTCTTATTCATACATACAGTGCCTTCAGAAAGTATTCACACCCCTTGACTTTTTCCACATTTTGTTGTGTTATAGCCTGAATAAAGCATTTATTAAATTGAGATTTTGTGTCACTGGCCTACACACAATACCCCATAATGTCAAAATGGAATTAGGTTTTTAGATATTTTTACAAATTAATTAAAAATGAAAAGCTGAAATGTATTGAGTCAATAAGTATTCAACCCCTTTGTTATGGCAAGCCTAAATCAGTTCAGGAGTAAACATTTGCTTATTAACAAGTCACATAATAAGTTGCATGGATTCACTCTGTGTGCAATAATAGTGGTTAACATGTAAGGTCCCTCAGTCGAGCAGTGAATTTCAACCACAGATTCAACCACAAAGACCAGGGAGGTTTTCCAATGCCAAAGTAAAGAAGGGCACCTAGGGGTAAAAAAAAAAAGAAGCAGACATTGAATATCCCTTTGAGCATGGTGAAGTTATGAATTACACTTTGGATGGTGTATCAATACACCCAGTCACTACAAAGACACAGGTGTCCTTCCTAACTTAGTTGCCGGAGAGGAAGCAAACCGCTCAGGGATTTCACCATGAGGCCAATGGTGACTTTAAAACAGTTACATAGTTTAATGGCTGTGATACGAGAAAACTGAGGATGGATCAACAACATCGTAGTTATACTACAATACTAACCTAATTGACAAGATTGAAAAGAAGGAAGCCTGTACAGTAAAAATATGTCAAAACATGCATCCTGTTTGCAACAAGGCACTAAAGTAATACTGCAAAAAATGTGAGAAAGAAATTAACTTTATGTCCTGAATACAAAGCGCTATGTTTGGGGCAAATGCAACACATCACTGAGTACCACTCTTCATAATTTCAAGCATGGTGGTGGCTGCATCATGTTATGGGTATGCCTGTCATCCGCAAGGACTAGGGAGTTTTTTAGGATAAAAATTAACGGAATAAAGCTAGGCAAAGGCAAAATCCTAGAGGAAAACCTGGTTCAGTCTGCTTTCCAACAGACACTGGGAGACAAATTCAGCAGGACAATAACCTAAAACACAAGGCCAAATATACACTGGAATTGCTTACCAAGACGACATTGAATGTTCCTGAGTTGCCTAATTACAGTTCTGACTTAAAATCGGCATGAAAAACTATGGACTTGAAAATGGCTGTCTAGGAATGATCAACAACCAATTTGACAGAGCTTGAAGGATTTGTTTAAAGAATAATGTGCAAATATTGTGCAATCCAGGTGTGTAAAGCTCTTAGAGACTTACCCGGGAAGACTTACAGCTGTATTTGCTGTCAAAGGTGATTCTAACATCTATTTACTCAGGGGTGTGCACATATTTTTTTTTCACTTTGTCATTATGGGGTATTGTGTAGATGGGTGAGAAAAATATACAGTGGGGAAAAAAAGTATTTAGTCAGCCACCAATTGTGCAAGTTCTCCCACTTAAAAAGATGAGAGAGGCCTGTAATTTTCATCATAGGTACACGTCAACTATGACAGACAAATTGAGAAAAAAAAATCCAGAAAATTCCATTGTATGATTTTTAATGAATTTATTTGCAAATTATGGTGGAAAATAAGTATTTGGTCACCTACAAACAAGCAAGATTTCTGGCTCTCACAGACCTGTAACTTCTTCTTTAAGAGGCTCCTCTGTCCTCCACTCGTTACCTGTATTAATGGCACCTGTTTGAACTTGTTATCAGTATAAAAGACACCTGTCCACAACCTCAAACAGTCACACTCCAAACTTCACAATGGCCAAGACCAAAGAGCTGTCAAAGGACACCAAAAACAAAATTGTAGACCTGCACCAGGCTGGGAAGACTGAATCTGCAATAGGTAAGCAGCTTGGTTTGAAGAAATCAACTGTGGGAGCAATTATTAGGAAATGGAAGACATACAAGACCACTGATAATCTCCCTCGATCTGGGGCTCCACGCAAGATCTCACCCCGTGGGGTCAAAATGATCACAAGAACGGTGAGCAAAAATCCCAGAACCACACGGGGGGACCTAGTGAATGACCTGCAGAGAGCTGGGACCAAAGTAACAAAGCCAACCATCAGTAACACACTACGCCGCCAGGGACTCAAATCCTGCAGTGCGAGACGTGTCCCCCTGCTTAAGACAGTACATGTCCAGGCCCGTCTGAAGTGCATTTGGATGATCCAGAAGAGGATTGGGAGAATGTCATATGGTCAGATGAAACCAAAATATAACTTTTTGGTAAAAACTCAACTCGTCATGTTTGGAGGACAAAGAATGCTGAGTTGCATCCAAAGAACACCATACCTACTGTGAAGCATGGGGTTGGAAACATCATGCTTTGGGGCTGTTTTTCTGCAAAGGGACCAGGACGACTGATCCGTGTAAAGGAAAGAATGAATGGGGCCATGTATCGTGAGATTTTGAGTGAAACCCTCCTTCCATCAGCAAGGGCATTGAAGATGAAACGTGGCTGGGTCTTTCAGCATGACAATGATCCCAAACACACCGCCCGGGCAACGAAGGAGTGGCTTCGTAAGAAGCATTTCAAGGTCCTGGAGTGGCCTAGCCAGTCTCCAGATCTCAACCCCATAGAAAATCTTTGGAGGGAGTTGAAAGTCTGTGTTGCCCAGCGACAGCCCCAAAACATCACTGCTCTAGAGGAGATCTGCATGGAGGAATGGGCCAAAATACCAGCAACAGTGTGTGAAAACCTTGTGAAGACTTACAGAAAACGTTTGACCTGTGTCATTGCCAACAAAGGGTATATAACAAAGTATTGAGAAACTTTTGTTATTGACCAAATACTTATTTTCCACCATCATATGCCAATAAATTCATTAAAAATCCTACAATGTGATTTTCTGGATTTTTTTTTCTCATTTTGTCTGTCATAGTTGACGTGTACCTATGATGAAAATTACAGGCCTCTCTCATCTTTTTAAGTGGGAGAACTTGCACAATTGGTGGCTGACTAAATACTTTTTTTCCCCACTGTATATTTAATCAATTTTGAATTCAAGCTGTAACACAACCATATGTGGAATAAGTCAAGGGGTATGAATACTTTCTGAAGGCACTGTATTTAATTAGTTCAGTCAACAAGGCCATCGGTCATGTCATCTACACACTATTCAACATTTAATTTAGACTATTTCTTAAAAAACAAATTGGGGTTAGAGAAAAATAAATCATATAGAAAAATTAATCTAGTCAGGGTGACCAAATATATCAACCATCCATCCAAACAATATTACAGAGTCTCACTGCTACTCCTGCACAGTCATGCTACTCCATAGCTGCCCAAGAAGACGACCCCATTGTAGTTTGGCAAAATTCACACTATAGGGCACTGAGGAGTGAGCTGTGGGTATAGAAATGCCCAATCCCATATCAACCTCTAGTACCTACTCCTTATGCACTTGTGGAGAGGATTGGATAGGTGTAAGCAAACTGGTGAAAATGTAACCTAGCCTACCTGAGCACAAGGTAATGCTATTACCATATTGCTTACACCTATCAAATTCTCTCAGATCATAGGGGAAAATAGGGGTTAGGGACTAGGAGTTGATGTGGGATTGGGCGTACGAGGTAACGTTTGACATCTGATTTCAGGAGGACAGGAAGACCAGAGTGCATTCTGACTTGACAGCTATTGAAGGAATCGACTAGATGGCTAATCTTGGCAGAGAGAAATTATTCAACACGTTTCATTTCCAAAGAAGAACAAAGGCGATAGATGGGGTAAAAAAAAAAAAGAGCTGCTTGGTCCGCCCCCGTTTTGTTATTGGCTAGAGCTCGTCGGAGGGGAGGAGTCTGAATGAGAGGAAGAAGAGGGGCTTAATGCTGCTTGGTCTTGGGCGCTGTGATTCTGCGCACCACACTGTAGAGAACCACAAAGTGCTGAAGAGAGAGAAAAAAGTGAGAAAGACATTACCCAGCTAGCACATAATGTTCTGAGAACCATATGTTTCTTAGAGCAGAGTTGTCCTATGGTTATTTTGCATACAACCTTTCCACAACCTTCTGGGAATGGTGCAGGATACCTAGCTAGCACATAACGTTCTGAGAACCATATGTTTCTTAGGTGGGAATTTCAATACTTCAGCATAACATTTTACATTTACATTTTAGTAATTTAGCAGACACTCTTATCCAGAGCGACTTACAGTTAGTGAATGGATACATGTTTTTTTTTTTTTTTTTATACTGGCCCCCCGTGGGAAACGAACCCACATCCCTGCCGGCCAAACCCTCCCCTACCTTGGATGACGCTGGACCAATTGTGCGCCGCCCATGGGTCTCCCGGTCGCGGCCGGCTGCGACAGAGCCTGGACTCTAACCAGGATCTCTAGTGGCACAGCCTGCGATGCAGTGCCTTAGACCACTGCGCCACTCAGGAGTTGATACAGGTTTCCTCATGGTTCTATTTAAAGTTATGTTCTCAAATTGTTCAGAGAACGTTAAGAAACAACGTTCTTCTGTGGGAATTTCAGTACTTCAGCATAAATGTTTTATACAGGTTTCCTCATGGTTCTATTTAAAGTCATGTTTTCAGATCATTAAGAAAACTTTACATAAAAAACACAAGAAAACATAAGTAACGTTCAAAAGAACGTTCTAAGAATGTTATTTAAGAACATACATTCCGTTCTCAGTGTCAACAAACCTCTCTATCCTCTATCTTGTAAAGTGTGTTCAAGTGTTTTGGCCGCGCCCACAAATTGGCCACACCTGATCTTAATGAGTGCTTGTTTCCTTTGAAGTGGGTTTGTTTAAATAGACTAAAATGAACAGCTTTGGATGAGTAAAAAACCTTGGCATGCTAGCTCCATCTTGGTGGCGTAGTGGACTAACTCCGTGGATAGGAAACAGAAGATCATAGGTTCAAATCTCCCTGAAGCCATGCCACAAAAATAAATGTGTTTGCATGATTAATGCCTAAGCAAATTAATTTCCATGTGTCCTATCTGTGCTTGGAGTTCAATTAAACCAAAATAAGCTAGCAGTGTTATTAAAAGTCTTACGTTATTTAATTACTTATAATTTCCGTTCTCAGAACATTAATAAAACATCCCAGGAAAACATTCAGAGAACCATAGTAAAACATTCTCAGAACCTCCCTGCAACCTAAAAAGTAACGTTCCCAGAACAGCCAAATGTCAGGAAACGTATGGCTTCGTTCCTAGAACCAATGGGAAACCAAAAACGTATGTTCCCATAACTTAACCCCTTGAATAACCAGGTAAGCCGACTGAGAAGACAGCATTCATATGATTTACAGCAATGACCGGGTTAGGAGTTACAGGGGGAGGCTAGGTCAACAGATTAATGACCATACATCAAAATAACATTAGTAGCCATCAGAATGGCGATGTTGGATCAATATATACCTGGATGGCCAGATATATCACTCCGAGGTAGGCTGCGATGCAGAATGCCAGAAGCAGGTCAAAGATGGCTGGTTTCACCCTGTTAGGAAAGTGGGTGTATAAAATGACAAGAGTGTAAAAGGGAAAAAACACAGACACAAAAGCAAGCTGAAGAGGTTTGAAGTGAAAGTCAATAGGCGTTTGCTCTATTGCACTAAAGCTCAGCACTCTGAGGGCTAAATACAGCAGGCAGCCATCACCTCTACCTGTAAGCATTCATGGTCTGTTTGAGCTGATCGTAGAAGACAAACTCTGGGTCTCTGAGGGAGAGAAAAAATATTGCATTTGTCACGGCAACATCATCCATTTCTAAACCATAATGTTCATTGGTTCAATGAACAACAGTAAATAGAAATATTTACTATTTGATCCTTACAAATGATCTTCTACAATAATGGAGTGATTCTGTCACTGTTTTTTACCACTATGAGCGGTCTTAGTAGTTCTTTGATTCCTTCAAGGAAAACACGGCAGAACCACTAGCTGTGACCAGTCAAGAGGACCATTGACACCCTGTATTAGCCGTAGCGCAGTGGTCAGTGACTGGTCACCTCTTGTCAGCCTTGACGTAGTGCCTGCGGACGTCCTTCAGGTAGCATCCCAGGTGGTACTCCAGGGTGCTGACCACGCTGCTGTCCTTGTCCACCAGCTGGGCGGCCCGCGGCTGGGCTGTCAGCCAGTCCACCACCGACGACAGCTGCTCCTCCTGCATCTGCTGGCCGTGCAGGCAACACACACACGGACACACAAATACACAGACTCATAGTCAGTGGCCTTATAGTACACACCTTGATACACACTTGTCTTGTTAAGCACACACACGCACACATCGTGACCCTGACTATAACACAGCTACACACCACACAAACACTAGCCTAAGGGGTCCACTGGTTGCCCCCTACTCAGGCCAAGCCTCAGGTCAAAGTCCTGGTGTGTATAGCAGCCTTCAAAAAGTATTGGTAAAGGTCATGTCAGAGACAGCCTCAAAGGGAGGGGACAGTATGGTTAAGCCACGTTCAACCACTCACCATTTGCTCAGTGAAAATCTGCAGGTCACCTGGGGCACCCTGGACACACGCACACACGAGAGAGAGAGAGCGAGAGAGAAGTCAAACCTGCTGTACAGTACAAAGGGCAACCCACACTGAACAAAAATATAAATGCAACATGTAAAGTGTTGGTCCCATGCTTCATGAGATGAAATAAAAGATCACAGAAATGTTCCATACGCACAAAAAGCTTATTTCTCTCAAATGTTGTGCACATATATTTGTTTACATCCCTGTTAGTGAGCCTTTCTCCTTTGCCAAGATAATCCACCTGACAGGTGTGGCATATCAAGAAGCTGATTAAACAGCATGATCATTACACAGGTGCACCTTGTGCTGGGGACAATAAAAGTACACTTTAAAAATGTGCAGTTTTGTCACACAACCCAATGCCACAGATGTCTCAAGTTTTGAGGGAGCGTGCAATCGGCATTCTGACTGCAGGAATGTCCAACAGAGTTGTTGCCAGATAATTGAATGTTCATTTCTCTACCATAAGCTGCCTCCAACGTCGTTTTAGAGAATTAGGCAGTACGTCCAACTGGCCTCACAACTGCAGCAGACCCCGGACCTCCACATCCAGCTGCTTCACCTGCGGGATCATCTGAGGGGGGGGGGGGGGGGGGGGGGGGGGGGGGGGGGGGGGGTGCTGTGGGGTAGTTCTGTCTGTAATAAAGCCCTTTTGTGGGGAAAAACTCATTCTGATTGGCTGGCTGCCAAGTGGGTGGGCCTATGCCTTCCAAGGCTGCACCCCTGCCCAATCATGTGAAATCCATAGATTAGGGCCTAATGATTGACTGATTTCCTTATATGAACTGTGATTAAATAAAATCTTTGAAATTGTTGCATGTTTTTATTCAGTATAGATATCAAAAGCAACATGAAAAACATTGACTTGAATTATATGGCTTTCAATATTGTTCTACATATCTTTACCTTCTCTGTGAGGTTGTAGATGACTCTGGCCAGTGACTCTGCAATCAGCTTCGTGTTCCTGCTGAGCTTTCTCAGATCCACATGAGGTCTGTAACAGTAAATCACAGTTCAATTCACAGTTAAAATTACCCAGCAATCAAGAGCAGCTCAACTCTGAAAACACACTGATGGAGAATGTGGGGAGCACAGACAGTCCACTCCACTGGGTGGGGAGGTGGGGTGGAGGGGAGGTGGCAGTGATGATGTTTGGAGGACAGACAGTTCAGTACAGTGGGATGAAGGTGCCCAATCCCAAATCAACCCGGTAGCCCAGCGTTTTTCAAAGTTTTTTTATTCCAGGTGCCGGCAAGCCATGTGCCCATGTTCTTGAGGGACTGCTAGCAATAAAAGTAACACAGTATTAGTATCAGTTCATACACCGGCTAGCAACCTCCCTTTATCAGATTTTAAGCAACATGGTAATAGCTCCACCTTGCTGTGAGACAGATCTACAAAAGTCCCACATCTACAACATTTTACATTTTTGTCATTTAGCAGACGCTCTTATCCAGAGCGACTTACAGTTAGTGAGTGCATACATTTTTCATACCCCGTGGGAAACGAACCCACAACCCTGGCGTTGCAAGCGCCATGCTCTACCAACTGAGCTACAGGGCACTACAAGGCAGGGGTGTGGGCAATACGGTCCAGGAGGGACAGCAATGTGTGCAAGCTTTTGTTCTAGCCTAGCACGTACACACCTGATTCAAAAGATCCTAATGGGCAGTTGATTACATGAATGAGGTGTGATAGGTGAGCTGGGCCTAGGCAGGGGTTGGGGCTTGTGGATGGGGGGGGGTCTCTTGGTCGGACAGCAGTAATAAACCCACCCAGCAGGTGGCTCTCCCGCTCCATGTTGAGAAGAGGGGGACACTGACCGCACGTCCATAATGCTGGAGCGCTGCGCCTCGCGATGGCTGTTGAGGTGGGACAGCGTGAAGGCCGGCAGCCGGCGGATCCCGAAGCGCTCGTGCTCCCACGCCAGTGTGTCGTCCGCCAGGTTTATCTTCTTATGCACCATTGAGAACTTGACCTCTGGGTACTGGCTGGATGCCACCTGGGGGTGACAGAGGGGGTCAGAGGTTAAAGGTCAGAAAAACTTACAGTAGGGAACTTTGGGTGTACATATAATGTGCTATGCGTGATCAACATATATCAATATATATATATATATATTATGTATATCATATTAACTTAAACTATCTAAATATATAAAAATAATTTTTATGTGGTTGGTGTGATGTGGTGGTCCTTACAGTCTCCACCTCTTTGAGCAGGGCGTACTGAGCGGTTCCCTCTTTAGGGGGTTTGGACACGTGAAGGTGCAGACCGTCTCCGTTCCCCAGCGTGTCCAGACACAACACAAACGCCACATTGTCCTGCAACAGACTGGAGTCTGCAGAGAGAGGGAGGAAAGGATAGATAAAGGGAGAGAGGAAGACAGAGACTGTTTACACTGCGATATCTATGCAAATATCAATTTCCCAAATATCATGCATGCCCATTGTTTCGCACACATGACCTCCATTTAATGACACTTGTGGCCGGTATCATGTTTCATTCCCTTTCATTTCCAGTATGTATTGTACAGATGTGATTATGTGTTCCACTGTAGCAGTCATAATAGCCATCCTGTAACTGAGTCTACAGCGTTATCATGTGAGCTTAGTGTACCTGTATGATCCAGGTTGTCCTCCAGCCAGCGTTTGGTGCCTTGGTAGTTGAACTTCCCTCCCCCAGAGACAAAGAAAAGCAGGTTGTACCTAAGAAGACAGTAGGTGTGTTAGAAATGACAGGAGAGGACATTCTTATCAATGTGGATGTTCTCTGGCCTCCATTAGGTCAACAGATTTGAACAGTTCTACAGAGTCTGGTAGCTACAGTGCCTTCAGAAAGTATTCATACCCCTTGACTTATTCCACATTTTGTTGTGTTACAGCCTGAATTCTAAATGGATTAAATATATGTTTTTTCTCACCCATCTACACACAGTACCCCATAATGGTCCTCTGTAGCTCAGCTGGTAGAGCACGGCGCTTGTAACGCCAAGGTAGTGGGTTCGAACCCCGGGACCACCCATACACAAAAATGTATGCACGCATGACTGTAAGTCACTTTGGATAAAAGCGTCTGCTAAATGGCATATTATTATTATTTATTATTATTAATGACAAAGTGAAACATTTTGTATTTGAAATTTTAGCAAATGTATTGAAAATTAAATACAGAAATATCTAATTTACATAAGTATCCACACCCCTGAGTCAGTACTTTCTAGAAGCACCTTTAGCAGCGATTACAGCTGTGAGTCTTTCTGGGTAAGTCTCTAAGAGCTTTCCACACCTGGATTGTGCAACATTTGCTCATTATTCTTCAAGCTCTGTCAAATTGGTTGTTGATCATTGCTAGACAATCATTTTCAGGTCTTGCCATAGATTTTCAATTAGATTTAAATCAAAACTGTAACTCGGCCACTCAGGAACATTCACTATCTTCTTGGTAAGCAACTCCAGTGTAGATTTGGCCTTGTGTTTTATGTTATTGTCCTGCTGAAAGGTGAATTAATCTCCCAGTGTCTGGTGGAAAGCAGACTAAACCAGATTTTCCTCTAGGATTTTGCCTGCGCTTAGCTCCATTCCGTTTATTTTTTATCCTGAAAAACTCCCAATCCTTAACGATTACATACGGAGAGTGGTACTCATTAATGTGTTGTATTGGATTTTCCCAAAACAAAACACGTTGTAGTTAGGACAAAAAGTTAATTGCTTTGCCACATTTTTTGCAGTATTACTTTAGTGCCTTGTTGCAAACAGCGTCTGCTAAATGACTCAAATGTAAAATGTAAATGTTTTGGAATATTTTTATTCTGTACAAGCTTTGTTATTTTCCCTCTGTCAATTAGGTTAGTATTGTGTAGTAACTACAATGTTGTTGATCCATCCTCAGTTGTTTTCTCCTATCACAGCCATAGGCTTCATGGTGAAATCCCCTGAGCGGTTTCCTTCCTCTCCGGCAAATGAGTTAGGAAGGAAGCCTGTATCTTTGTAGTGACTGGGTGTATTGATACACCATCCAAAGTGTAATTAATAACTTCAACATGCTCAAAGAGATATTCACTGTCAGCTTTTTTTTTTACCCAACTACCAATAGCTTCCCTTCTTTGCAAGGCATTGGAAAACCTTCCTGGTCTTTGTGGTTGAATCTGTGGTTGAAATGCACTGCTCGACTGAGAGACCTTATAGATAATTGTATGTGTGGGGTACAGAGATGAGGTAGTCATTCAAAAATCATATTAAATACTATTCTTGCACAGAGTGAGTCCATGCAATTTATTATGTGACTTGTTAAGCACATTTTTACTCCTGAACTTATTTTGGCTTGCCATAACAAAGGGGTTGAATACTTACTGACTCAAGACATTTCAGCTTTTAATTGGTAAAAACATAATTCCACTTTGACATTATGGGGTATAGCGTGTAGGCCAGTGACAATCAAATCTCAATTTAATCCATTTTAAAATCAGGCTGTAACACAACAACATTTGGAAAAGGTCAAGGGGTGTGAACACTTTCTGAAGGCACTGTACATGTTGGGAAAGTGAATGTCAAAACATACTGTATAGTATCATAGGGGAAAGGCTACAGTCAGTTAAAATGTGTCTCTGAATTCAGAGGTCATGTAATCTGCAATTTCTCTGCAACACATAACACTGACATGTACTTTGCGTCCTGACGACAGCCCCTTTCTCCCCTGCTCTCTCTATGTAGGAGGGGCTTCTTGCTGTCTTGTTCCTTTTTACTAGTGATATGCAAACAGCCCATATGCAAAGTTAGCAGTGGTTACTTGTTAGCATTTTCATTCGGTCAGTATGGAGCATACGCCAACACTAGAGCTCACCAAACACCATGGAAAACAGCCAGCGTGCCATTACGCCAACACATTTACACTAATGTAGCCCCTCGTCTCAAAGTGCACTCACACTCCAGAGTACACATTTACATTACATTTTAGTCATTTAGCAGACGCTCTTATCCAGAGCGACTTACAGTTAGTGAATACATATATATTTTTTAAAATACTGGCCCCCCGTGGGAATCGAACCCACAACCCTGGCGTTGCAAACGCCATGCTCTATCAACTGAGCTAGATCCCTGCCGGCCATTCCCTCCCCTACCCTGGACGACGCTGGGCCAATTGTGCGCCGCCCATGAGTCTCCCGGTCACGGCCGGCTGCGACAGAGCCTGGATTCGAACCAGGATCTCTAGTGGCACAGTTAGCACTGCGATGCGGCGCCTTAGACCACTAGGAATCGACAAACGTCTTCAAAGAACCACATCCTTTCTACTCTATTACTATAACTAATCGACTCTTAAAAGCAAAGTACATTGTAAACACAGGAAGATCTGTGAGTTTTACAAGCGGAGTGTGATTTTCCCAAAGGAAACGTGTGGATGGTTATAACATTGTAATAAGCCTGATTTCTCTGAGGGGCTGTCGACGTGACGTGTGTTGCTCACCCAGCGTGTGTCCTCTTGTAGGTGTAGAGTCTGGAGAAGAGTCTGGCTAACTCCAGCAGCATAGACACCCCACTACCGTTAGAGTCTGCTCCATAGGACAGCCACTGGACAGAACAACACCAAAGTCACACAGAGTCAACACATTTACTTAGCATCTTCACTTCTAGTGGAGCAGAATTCCGCAACATAAATAAAGATAACTATCATATAGTAAGAATATTATAAATATAGCATATTATAGAATACACTGAGGTATATGAAGGGAGAGCTGGGCGTACCGGAGCGACACCAAAGGAGTCATAGTGAGCCACCAGGACAATGGTGGGCAGGTCCTCTCCTCCAGTTCCAGCCAGTCGCCCCTAGGAGAGGACAGGGAGACAGTTATTAGACAAAAGTATATTGTATTAGGATTTATATTTTATATCAGTTCTATAACATCTCGAAACACAATATACTACTACATGAATGTTCTGTGTTATGTCATGTTTCATGTTATGTTTGGCAACAGCTAATGGGGATCCGAATAAAATACGAAATACTACATTTTCTGTTATCTTATATGAAAGTAAAGAATGTAGCCAAGGGTATGAGACTTAAGACATCAATAAAGACAGGCATGGAATACCTACCACGATGACTTAAACTGAAACCCATTATGTGAAACAAGCCCATTGACCGATGGCCGTATGCATTATGTAGAGCGGAACACTTGAGGCCTCATGAAATCCACTGATCTCCAACTACATGGTTAAGGCCATTATTCCCCTGGGTTTGACACCTACCTTAGTTCAACACACTCACATGCACACACACACACACACACACACACACACACTCTAGAATATCATATAGACCCAAGAATGAAACACAAGGATAAGAAAACGATCAAGTTATTTGCTTCTAAATCACTTAACACCTTAAGTGTGAGCAGTGTGTTAATGATATGATATGATATGATATGCCATTTAGCAGACGCTTTTATCCAAAGCGACTTACAGTCATGCGTGCATACATTTTTTTTTTTTTGTGTATGGGTGGTCCCGGGGATCGAACCCACTACCTTGGCGTTACAAGCGCCGTGCTCTACCAGCTGAGCTACAGATGTGGGTACTGGTCTACTGGTAACCCATTAACAGAAACTTAAGATGTCTGAATGTTTGGATTAAATGTCACAGCACTACATAAATCATTAAACAGATAAAGGATAATGGTTTAACCATAATGATTCTCACCTCTAGACTGGTGATGGCCCAGTCACTCACTGCCTTGCTCTGAGCCCCACTCGTCACCATCTGAAAGCCATTAGCTGTGGCCGTGTGGATCAGCACTGGGAAGACATGGGGAAAAGGTGTCATTAAATCCCTAGAAAGAATTTCACTAGAAAAGAATTTCCTCTAACAACGTTTCGACCGACAGTTTTCAACACAATATTTGTAAATGTCCTGCACCTTCGGCTGCAGAGGAGGACCCCTGGGAGGAGGAGGAGGTGAGGGTCTGTGTGTAGATGGAGAGCAGCTCATCGTCCTCCAGAGCAAAGTAAACCGGGACAATGGTCTCTGTGGCCAGCATCTCTGGCTCCAGCTCCATGAACTGCTACAATGTAGAGGAATAAGGAATGCCAGGTTATCACTCACAAGACAACAGAGTGTGAATGTGAAACAGCATAACATTTGGACACTTTGGCCTACTTCACTCCAGCAAGTCTGTTTTTTCAAGTGTTGCTGATAAGGAGGGAGTGTTGTGACTGCCAGTTTTCCTTGAGGGTAACATAAACTTTACAAGAACACCAAAGGAGCTCTAGCTTTCAAAACAACTCAGGACCTTGCCTCTTGATTTGACGTCCAGGGTAGTTTGCTGTATGGTCATAAGCCCACTCATAAGGCATTCTAATGCATTATTACCTGTACTATGTCCTGCGGCATGGTGGACATATTCTTGGGGAGTATGATGACCACAGCCCCAGCGGACTGGCGCAGGGCTTTCTGGTATCTCTCATAGGAGAAGTCCACTAGCCGCATGATGACACAGCGGCGGCTTAGCACCTCCGCCTCCACTGTGCGGGCCTCTGTGTTCAATATGGCATTCCTGGTACCTGGAAATCACAAGTGGGATCAGATCAGTTGGGGAGGGATGTGTGGAAACACCTTTCAGTGACTAGCTAGCTACAGTGAGGGGAAAAAAGTATTTGATCCCCTGCTGATTTTGTACGTTTGCCCACTGACAAAGACATGATCAGTCTATAATTTTAATGGTAGGTTTATTTGAACAGTGAGAGACAGAATAACAACAAAATCAAGAAAAACACATGTCAAAAATGTTATACATTGATTTGCATTTTAAATGAGGGAAATAAGTATTTGACCCCCTCTCAATCAGAAAGGTTTCTGGCTCCCAGGTGTCTTTTATACAAGTAACACTCTTAAAGGGAGTGCTCCTAATCTCAGTTTGTTACCTGTATAAAAGACACCTGTCCACAGAAGCAATCAATCAATCAGATTCCAAACTCTCCACCATGGCCAAGACCAAAGAGCTCTCCAAGGATGTCAGGGACAAGATTGTAGACCTACACAAGGCTGGAATGGGCTACAAGACCATCGCCAAGCAGCTTGGTGAGAAGGTGACAACAGTTGGTGCGATTATTCGCAAATGGAAGAAACACAAAATAACTGTCAATCTCGCTCTGCCTGGGGCTCCATGCAAGATCTCACCTCGTGGAGTTGCAATGATCATGAGAACGGTGAGGAATCAGCCCAGAACTACACGGGAGGATCTTGTCAATTATCTCAAGGCAGCTGGGACCATAGTCACCAAGAAAACAATTGGTAACACACTACGCCGTGAAGGACTGAAATCCTGCAGCGCCCGCAAGGTCCCCCTGCTCAAGAAAGCACATATACAGGCCCGTCTGAAGTTTGCCAGTGAACATCTGAATGATTCAGAGGAGAATTGGTTGAAAGTGTTGTGGTCAGATGAGACCAAAATCGAGCTCTTTGGCATCAACTCAACTCGCCGTGTTTGGAGGAGGAGGAATGCTGCCTATGACCCCAAGAACACCATCCCCACCGTCAAACATGGAGGTGGAAACATTATGCTTTGGGGGTGTATTTCTGCTAAGGGGACAGGACAACTTCACCGCATCAAAGGGACGATGGACGGGGCCATGTACCGTCAAATCTTGGGTGAGAACCTCCTTCCCTCAGCCAGGGCATTGAAAATGGGTCGTGGATGGGTATTCCAGCATGACAATTACCCAAAACACACGGCCAAGGCAACAAAGGAGTGGCTCAAGAAGAAGCACATTAAGGTCCTGGAGTGGCCTAGCCAGTCTACAGACCTTAATCCCATAGAAAATCTGGAGGGAGCTGAAGGTTTCAGTTGCCAAACGTCAGCCTCGAAACCTTAATGACTTGGAGAAGATCTGCAAAGAGGAGTGGGACAAAATCCCTCCTGAGATGTGTGCAAACCTGGTGGCCAACTACAAGAAACGTCTGACCTCTGTGATTGCCAACAAGGGTTTTGCCACAAAGTACTAAGTCATGTTTTGCAGAGGGGTCAAATACCTATTTCCCTCATTAAAATGCAAATCAATTTATAACATTTTTGACATGCATTTTTCTTGATTTTGTTGTTGTTATTCTGTCTCTCACTATTCTAATAAACCTACCATTCAAATTATAGACTGATCATGTCTTTGTCAGTGGGCAACGGTACAAAATCAGCAGGGGATCAAATACTTTTCCCCCTCACTGTAGCTAGCTAGCAAGGTGACATGATTGATTCAATGCTGTAGTAGTAGGCTATTATTAGGCAGGGCAAACCCGTTTTGGTGATTTCTGGTATGTCATCAAAATATATCAATCACAGCATGTTTTTTTAATCATTCAGAAGTTTTTACCTGATTATGTACAATACCATTGGAAATGAATGTTGAAAGTTCCATTTATATTCCTAAAACTTTAGTTGAAAATTATGCTGTCACTGCTTCCTGTTGACATTTTGATAAATAGCCAATGTCAAAACACTGTTTAAACGTGTCCAAATCAATAACCAATATGCAGAAACAGTTTGTGATAGTATATTTTATGTTTAGGTTTTCACTATCTACACATACATGTGCAACAATAGTAATCATATCGTAAACTGCACACAAAAACCCTGTTGTTTTGACAAGTGGCAATAAATCACTCATATTGATTAGGCGGGAAATCAGGTTGTATGCGCTGTTGAAACTACCACAACTCAAATACCACATGGAAACTGGAGATATTTTTACATCACTGTTTTCTCTAAATAAGCTTTGTTGTACAATTAAAGGTCAAATACACTGCATTTCAAACAGTCAGCAATAATCTAATGAATTCAGGGTTTGTGAAATTATACGTAGGCTAAATATAATCCACAACCATAAAACACACTAACAATTTAATTATTTTATCAAAACAGTTTTTTTCTCGCAATAATCACTGATCTGGCTTTCAAGTTTGTCTATGAAAATGCCCTTTTTGTTCGAAATTTAACCAGAACCATGCATAATGCACATTCACTTCTTGTAGCAGGCATTACAGAAAATTAACACAGGTCTCATAAACATTCTCTCAAGCACAAGCCCACGTGCTAGTGAGTAGCCAGCTAATCTTTATATTTCAAGTTAGCAAACTTGGATCTATTTCCTAGCTAACAAGGCAGAACAGTTGAATTAATATGAACACACCCTTCTGTCCGTCTCCAACTGTTTGAACAGCACGCTAGCCTGACCCTGTCTACTTTGTTCAGATGTTGAAATCAAGTAGCCTACCTTATTTCTCAGAATGAGAATGAAATAATTGTGTTTTATGATTTCTGCACATTTATAAAACTAGACAGCTAGTATAAGTGTCTTTGGCTAAAATGCTGCTAGAGCGTTTTAGTAGTGTCTGTTCTGTGCGCAATTTGTGCAGTTGAGGCATAAAAAGGGTATTGTTAGACAGGTTAACTTCTCCTTTACAGTAAATGAATGTCTCAATGTGTTTCGGTGTCCATATAACAGATTCTGTTGGACCAAACCTCAAATGCAAATAGCTAGTTGAAACCACTTGACAGAGAGGAAGACATGATCTCTCATCTTTGTTGTGTGAGTGGCAGGGGGGCTTGGTGTGTGTATGTGTAAACAGTGGAAGAGGCAAAGCGAGAGATTTCACTCACGCCAAAATGTGTCCAAAATAAGCCCAATGCGTTTCTATGGGCTTATTTTAGATCTAAACTTGGTCGTGTCTACACTTGACACTTACATGTGACTTCTGCTATCAGAAAAAGAAGATTGCATTGAAAATACGTGTCTAAACACACAAAAGTCACTTTGTGGTCTGATTGTGTTCAGATCTGGCTGACCACTTCAGGAGGTGGTCAGGGATGCATTGTATGTGGATTTCACCTCAGTCACGACGCAATTAGGCTACCGTCATCAGCACTCCTCCCACAAGTCTCCAGAAAACTTGTGTTTTGGGACCGAGAGGCACCTTTTCATTATAACGTTGGAGGAAATACGTTTCTTAGCGTGTGAGGAACATGTTTGCTGGCCTCATAAATGCTAGCCAGCTAGCTAATATTTAGAAGGGGAAAAAATGGTTTGGCTATAGTTATGCTAACCCGTTTGTAATTCCTTTAGCGTTGCAAACGGGTTAGCTGGCTAGTTAGCTACTGTAGTTAGCTACTACCATCAGTTGTTGTTGTGTTATCATATTTAGCATATTCCACCATTTGTAGAATGCATACTGTCATTTGAATACAGCGAGAAAAGGGAATCCGGACACACTGTGGACACGGTAGACACATTTAAATGTAGGTGTAGATGCATGATGCATTCGGAATTCCATGATGAGAACTCTATGATCAGAATACTAAAGCTGCATGAACTGTCAAGTCTCGACATGGCCCTTGCTGCTTGCCGCTTGCCTTCCTGCCTTTGGGACAACAACTCCCATTGTTAGGGCAGAGATATGAGCATCTCGTCATTATATAGAGATCTCTGGTGTAAATGGGAAGGTGCACGAGACGAAACCAAAAAGACAACATGAGAACAAGCAGAAGGACATAAACGCTCATAAAAACAAACAAAAAACTTGATTCTTGCAATACAGTTATTTGGGATACAGGTATTGGAATATCGCGCAACAAAATTAATTTAAATTAATCTAATTAATTAGATATATCGTCCAGCCCCACCTGAACCCTTTACGTCCCTACTATCACCCAGCATGTCTTTAAATTCAACTAAATGTGACATGTCACCCATGACAATGTGACAAGCCACACACACTTTTTGACTTCACCCATTTTGATGTAAATGAAACTTTACATATTTGACCTTGGTAAAAGTGGTCAGAAAGTGATATTTGTTTTGTAATAGAGTTGAAGTCAGAAGTTTACATACACCTTATCCAAATACATTTAAACTCAGTTTTTCACAATACCTGACATTTAATCCTAGTAAACATTCCCTGTCTTGGGTCAGTTAGGATCACCACTTTATTTTAAGAATGTGAAATGTCAGAATAATAGTAGAGAGAATGATTTATTTCAGCTTTTATTTCTTTCATCACATTCCCAGTGGGTCAGAAGTTTACATACACTCAATTAGTATTTGGTAGCATTGCCTTTAAATTGTTTAACTTGGGTCAAACGTTTTGGGTAGCCTTCCACAAGCTTCCCACAATAAGTTGGGTGAATTTTGGCCCATTACTCCTGACAGAGCTGGTGTAACTGAGTCAGGTTTGTCGGCCTCCTTGCTCGCACATGCTTTTTCAGTTCTGCCCACACATTTTCTATAGGATTGAGGTCAGGGCTTTGTGATGGCCACTCCAATATCTTGACTTTGTTGTTCTTAAGCCATTTTGGCACAACTTTGGAAGTATGCTTGGGGTCATTGTCCATTTGGAAGACCCATTTGCGACCAAGCTTTAACTTCCTGACTGATGTCTTGAGATGTTGCTTCAATATATCCACTTAATTTTCCTTCCTCATGATGCCATCTATTTAGTGAAGTGCACCAGTCCCTCCTGCAGCAAAGCACCCCCACAGCATGATGCTGCCACCCCCGTGCTTCACAGTTGGGATGGTGTTCTTCGGCTTGCAAGCTCACCCTTTTTCCTCCAAACATAACAATGGTCATTATGGCCAAACAGTTCTATTTTTGTTTCATCAGACCAGAGGACATTTCTCCAAAAAGTAAGATCTTTGTCCCCATGTGCAGTTGCAAACCGTAGTCTGGCTTTTTTTATGGAGCAGTGGCTTCTTCCTTGCTGAGCGGCCTTTCAGGTTATGTTGATATAGGACTCGTTTTACTGTGGATATAGACACTTTTGTACCTGTTTCCTCCAGCATCTTCACAAGGTCCTTTGCTGTTGTTCTGGGATTGATTTGCACTTTTCGCACCAAAGTACGTTCATCTCTAGGAGACAGAACACGTCTCCTTCCTGAGCGGTATGACGGCTGCGTGGTCCCATGGTGTTTATACTTACGTACTATTGTTTGTACAGATGAACGTAGTACCTTCAGGTGTTTGGAAATTGCTCCCACGGGTGAACCAGACTTGTGGAGGTCTACAAAATTTTTTTGGAGGTCTTGGCTGATTTCTTTTGATTTTCCCATGATGTCAAGCAAAGAGGCACTGAGTTTGATGGTAGGCCTTGAAATACATCCACAGGTACACCTCCAATTGACTCAAATGACGTCAAATAGCCTATCAGAAGCTTCTAAAGCAGTGACATCATTTTCTGGAATTTTCCAAGCTGTTTAAAGGCACAGTCAACTTAGTGTATGTAAACTTCTGACCCACTGGAATTGTGATACAGTGAATTATAAGTGAAATAATCTGTCTGTAAACAATTGTTGGAAAAATTACTTGTGTCATGCAAAGTAGATGTCCTAAAAGTCTTGCCAAAACTATAGTTTGTTAACAAGAAATTTGTGGAGTGGTTGAAAAACGAGTTTTAATGACTCCAACCTAAGTGTATGTAAACTTCTGACTTCAACTGTATATATATTTTTTCTTTAATGTCAATTATCTAAAAACACGTAAACTCCGATTTTTTTCATTTTCGCATCTGTTCTAGCTTAGACCCTTTTTTACATTGTCTGAGGTGTTTGTGTTGTGCCCGCCATCGGTTGAGACACAGCATGATCTTGAATACAGGGTGGGTGTCATGTTTTGGCTGATAATGTACTCAAATGGGAATAAAATAGAAATTTCAACTTTCAAATGGTACCACAAAAATTGTTGGACATCCACACATTAGAGAATGATGACTTGAATGGGAATATCAGTTGTTTTAAAGGGATACTTCCGGATTTTGGCAAGGAGACCCTTTATTTACTTCCCCGGAGTCAGATGATTACCTTCATACTGGACACAATGCCATAAAAAAATCTGAGTTTATGCGTTTTTAGATAATTGACGTTAAAGGTAAAAAAATAAAAAATAAAAAGTTATTTTTTATCCTGAAATTATTACTTTTTTTGACAACCCTGTTTGTAATCTTTTAAATGATATCAAACTCAACTGTTTATCTTTTCCAGTGATGAAGACATGGATGTCTCAATTATAATTTGTATTCAGAAATTAGCGAGTCGGACAGCTTTTTGGGCACATTCTTACAACAATTCTGTGAATAATTTATCGTCTTTACCTATCTGGCACACCTGGCTCATTTGATTGTGTATTCTACATCACTATGAACATTTTAAGATATTATTGGGCATACTACAATTATACAGCTGTGGAAAAAATTAAGAGACCACTACACATTTTTCTTAAATCAGCATCTCTACATGTATGACAGCCATTCCATTCCAGTGTCTGTTGAATTCCAACACAGGCACACCTCATTCAACTGAATTAGGTACTGATTAGTTATAATTATAAAAACCACTGCTGTGGTCATCACTATCCTCTTGCAATAGGACCAGCTGGATGGCAAAAACAGTGCTAATAGTACCTCAAAAGTAATATTAATCATAAAATAACTATTGACCATGCCAAAAGAGTTGAAAAGGAAAGTTTTGAGTGAGGAAAAGAAGGGTTCAATTCTGGCTTTACTGGGAGAGGGATACAGTGAGCGTCAGGTTGCTTCCATCCTTAAAATGTAAAAAGACGGCGGTTCATAAGAACAAGGTCAAGCAGCAGACATTGGGGACAACAAAGCTACAGACCGGCAGAGGGCTCCTATGGGCAGGGCTGAAGTCGTGCAAAGCTAGAAAAAAAGCCCTTCATCAATGAGAAGCAAAGAAGAGCCAGGCTGAGGTTTGCAAAAGACCATAAGGATTGGACCGTAGAGGACTGGAGTAAGGTCATCTTCTCTGATGAGTCCAATTTTCAGCTTTGCCCAACACCTGGTCGTCTAATGGTTAGACAGAGACCTGGAGAGGCCTACAAGCCACAGTGTCTCGCACCCACTGTGAAATTTGGTGGAGGATCGGTGATGATCTGGGGGTCCTTCAGCAAGGCTGGAATCGGGCAGATTTGTCTTTGTGAAGGACGCATGAATCAAGCCACGTACAAGGTTGTCCTGGAAGAAAACTTGCTTCCTTTTGCTCTGACATTGTTCCCCAACTCTGAGGATTGGTTTTTCCAGCAGGACAATGCGCCATGCCACACAGCCAGGTCAATCAAGGTGTGGATGGAGGACCACCAGATCAAGACCCTGTCATGGCCAGCCCAATCTCCAGACCTGAACCCCATTGAAAACTTCTGGAATGTGATCAAGAGGAAGATGGATGGTCACAAGCCATCAAACAAAGCCGAGCTGCTTGAAATTTTGCGCCAGGAGTGGCATAAAGTCACCCAACAACAATGTGAAAGACTGGTGGAGAGCATGCCAAGACGCATGAAAGCTGTGATTGAAAATCAGGGTTGTTCCACCAAATATTGATTTCTGAACTCTTCCTAAGTTAAAACATTAGTATTGTGTTGTTTAAAAATGAACATGAACTTATTTTCTTTGCATTATTCGAGGTCTGACAACACTGCATATTTGTTGTTATTTTGACCAGTTGTCATTTTCTGCAAATAAGGATGGGCAACTCCAGTCCTTGGGGGTCTGATTGGTGTCACGTTTGCCACAGCCCCAGCTAGCACACCTGACTCCAATAATCAACTAATCATAATCTTCAGTTTGTCTCCCGTTGTCCTAGCTAGCTACCGGTGTCGCTCCCGCCTCCCGCCTGTGTACTGGAGTCCTAGCTAGCACAGTGTCCTTCGACCCCGCCTGCCAAGCACCTGCCCTCGCCGTAACGTTAACAGAAAGGTGGGAAATGAGTGCTCAGCAGGCGGGCAGAAGGACACTGTCTACCAGTGTCCTAGCTAGCTAGCGGTGTTCGCCCCCGCCTCTTCTTCTGTGGGGTTTATCGGTGGTTGGCATCCAACGTTATGGTGCATTACCGCCATCTACTGTACTAGAGCGCCCCCGCCAGTTCTGTTAAAGTTACTGCTAGGGCATCTGTGTCTGTTTTTTTTTATTACATCACTTCCTCACAGCTTTGATAAAGAGAGGGTTAGGGTGGCTGGTATATCTGTAGCCCTTGATCATGACTCTCAGTTCCATCACACATAAGAGTCATTGGACGGAGGCGTCTTCTGTCGGTGGGAATTTTGTTAAGATCCCCGAATCTCGGTCTGAACATTAACATGCATCGCTTGCGGTACGGTTTTGGAAGCATAAGGACCTTATCTTTCAAATAATAATTTTCTAAAAACAAAAGGTTAAATTGAATTGATACACACATTGACAGGGCTCCAAACACGTGTGTAAGCGTAACTAGGGAAATATAGTTTCATCTGATGGAGGCACCCATAGCTGTATGGATCTGTGCAAAACGACTACAGTAAGTGTATCTTTTTTATTTGAAGGATTCTTTCTCGCTGATGAACGAGAAGGGCCATATGTTACGAAAGTCGTATCGAAAAGCGATGATTGTTGACATTTCTAAACGTTAAAACACATCGTCGAGATTGTAGTTCACATGAGGCAGTTGTTGGGCAAAACTCATGGCTGAGAATTTAGGGAGAAGGCAGAATCCCACCTAATTAGAGAGCTAGTATATCTGTTACATCTGCTATCCAACGCATCAACAGATTACACATCAATTTGAAGTTAAAACATTGCACATTAATTATACTACAATGATGGCATATCCTAAACGAAAAATAATAATTTTATTTCCCTTTTGACCCATATTTTAATTGCATAGACAATCAGGGGAAATCCAGAAAATCTAATCTCAAAGGAGCATGAAGATGGCTTGCTGGAAGGGGGATATTCCTCCAGCTGCGCCCACATGCAGGAACCAATGGGATGCTCGGGGGGGATGCCCACACTCAGACCCCCGAATTGCGGGCCGCAATCACACACTATTGACACTTGTTAGCTAGCTAGCGCGCTAACGTTAGCTAGCGCGCTAACAGAGAGCGTTTACTTAGGGAAATAACTATGCCTTATATCGGGGTAGCTAACCACAGGACTGAATTGCCATTCAATAAATGCACAAAATACAATTTTTAAATGCTTACCGTACGGTTGTCCCTGCAGGTCATACTGCTGCATGCGGTACACGGTGAATTCATGTGCCGCTTCAGCTGGAAGGGGTGAGACGAGAATCAGCACCGCAGGGATAAACACAATGAAAGTCAGGGGGAAAGAGTACTTAAACATGTTATCGAACACCTCACTAGCCTCCTCAAACATCTTGACCTTCGTATTGAGGTCTAAACAAGAGGAAATTGATAATCTAGGCTGTTGCTGGATCGAATCTAGTCGTTAGCCTAGCTGTCATTCAGTAACACAATCGACACAAGTGGATTTTAATATGGCAAAAAGCTTGGCCACCTAACTAAACACGCACGAGCTTGCTTTTTGAATGGCATGGACATATTGTTACATCTTCCATATCTGTAATGAATATTCTTTATTATACAAATTAATTTGTCCCGTTCATTGATTTAATTAATGAGAATATTCATCACTGCGAAATCTCTGCTGCTAAGGGTCCAACAGGGGCCATCAGAGACAGCTTCGTGAATTTTAGGCGAGGCTGTGCAGTTGTGGAATTCAACGGCAGGGGTCAATGTAGACCAGCGGTGGTCATGTCTAGATGGGCTACAGCCAATAAACCCTGGATTACAAAATGCTATGTATTGGCCATTGAGAGGCTTTGGCAAACGAAACTCTGTGGCCATACTGTACAGTCTTTGCTTTGGCCAAAGATTATGGATATACTGACAAGATACATCTCTCCGCCCTAACAAAGCGGCACGACGGGCAGTCTAGCTCCCGCCTATCCTTTCTTTGGATTGGTGGATACATCTCATTATTGTAATATATTTTTAAATATTCGATGAGGGTTGTTAACGCCGACTGCCTGTATTCAATGGAGAGAGACGCTACTAGCTTCATGTCATGAATATGCATAGCCAACTCCAATATAACTTGTAAAAATACGAGGTCAAATCATAACGTCAGTGATTTTCAGGTCGTCAGTTATCTTCAGGTCGGAAAGTTGGAGCTCTAGAAAGAGGCCCGAGTTGGAGTTCCGAGGTCATAACGATTTTTCCCAGACTGAGCTCGTTATTTTCCGAGTTCCCAGTGGTTTTGAACGCTGCATAAGCAATACCATTTTTTTGTTGACCAAATTCTACACTCTCATAGAGTATCACAGTATGAGTCATAATAACCATAAAACCTAGCGGTCAAACAGGGAAATGGTTCCAATCGTTTTTCCACCATTCATTTTTCCCTTAGGGGATTTTAGAAACACTTAAAATAAGGGCTGTGTTTCGTGTAGGCTCACCTTGTCTCTCTAGGACAAGGTGACTTATCAATATATTCGCCTGTATTTACCCCACAAAAATGAAATGCTAATTAGCTGCTAATGTGGTTATCATAAAGAACTAGAAATGCCATGACGATCTGGACGAGACCGCCGAATTGAGGCAAAGGTAAGAATCTCTGGATTAACTAATGTTAGCTAAATGTAGTAATGAATAAATTGGCAACATTTCTTTAAATGAACAATTCTGTGAACGGTCTTGTGAAAGTTTTAAATTGACACAATAACTGTTAGCAAAGGTGTCAGAGATGGCGTGCAGGAGCTTGCAGGGATTTGTAGTTTTGCATGATGTCTATTTTGCTGCTAATTAGCATGATCAAATCTGAGAGTAAATAAAGCCGAATATATTGATAAAAGTCACCTTGTCCGAGAGAGATTTACATGGTTATCAAACGTCACACCAGGGTAAGCCTACACGAAACACAGCCCTTACTTTATGTGTTTCTAAAATCCCGTATGGGAAAAATGAATGTTGGAAAACCGATTGGAACCATTTCCCTGTTTGACTGCTAGGTTTCATGGGTATTATGACACCTCCACTGTGGGGCTTTATTGACCGCCATACGTGGTCCTCTGTAGCTCAGCTGGTAGAGCACGGCGCTTGTAACGCCAAGGTAGTGGGTTCGATCCCCGGGACCACCCATACACAAAGAAAATGTATGCACGCATGACTGTAAGTCGCTTTGGATAAAAGCGTCTGCTAAATGGCATATTATCTTATTATCTTTATACAAAAACTCCCTGCTTGGTGGGCGAAACAATGAAAAAACGCCACCTGCTGGACGGAGACAGATATTCTGCTGTGTTGGGCCTCTCTCTTCCTCTCTGCTTTGGCTTTAAAGCCACCGGTCGGCCATATTGGTACTCCCCAGTAGGAGCAGAACCCTGGATCTGGTTCGTTCAACCATTCTTGTGGGGAAAATTAATGGGGAAAGAATAGGGTTTTGCGATAAATGCCGAAAATAAGGTAATCTTATACGCTTATATATTCATTTTCCCATAGAGCACGCCAGCTTGTAGTCTTAAAAACCAGAAAAGAGTTACCTCTGGTTCGTCCAGCCATTCCTATGGAGAAAATTAATGGGGAAAGAATAGGGTTTTGGGATAAACACAGAAAATAACGTCTTAGGTTAACACAGCCTTAGGAGATCTTATATGTTTTGTTCTATTTACATTTTTACAATTTAGTCATTTAGCAGACGCTCTTATCCAGAGCGACTTACAGTTAGTGAATGCATACATTCTTTTTTTTTCATACTGGCCCCCCGTGGGAAACGAACCCACAACCCTGGCGTTGCAAACGCCATGCTCTACCAACTGAGCTACATCCCTGCTGGCCATTCCCTCCCCTACCCTGGACGACGATGGGCCAATTGTGCGCCGCCCCATGGGTCTCCCGGTCTCGGCCGGCTACGACAGAGCCTGGATTCGAACCAGGATCTCGATGTGGCGCAGTGCCTTAGACCACTGCGCCACTCGGGAGGTTGCCGAAATGAGTAGGAGATAACATCTATGAGATAACATCAGTCAGTTAACATGACCTTTATGAATTATGAAGCCTTTTTTTATTACATAAATACTTCCAACCAATTTGTTCATCAAAAGCAATATGCTGGCCAGAAAAAGGGCAGTTATTTGAAAACGTATTCATGGGTTGCACGTTGCGTCACTATTGTTTTGAAGGTTCGTTTTAGGACTGATGCCCAACAGAGCATTCTACTCAATGCATCCTCATTGGGGGCTGATGAAGATTTGGTTGAAAGTTTATTACTGTGGCTTGAAAACACGATGACATTTCTAAAGAAGGCAAATCATTAGTAGGAAAACCTTTTGTTGTCATTTTGATGTCGCTGGATTTACTTTAGATGCAGTATAACGTTAGCTAGCTAAGATTGAGGGAGACCTCCAGATTTGAGCTTTTCTAACGTTAGCATTGCTAGCTATTTTGAACAAACTTTGCTAGCTAATGACATTGCCATATGTCTAAAGTAAATTTGACAACATGATGATGGCAAAGTTGTTTCCTACCAAATATGTGCCTACTTTAGTAATGTCATCGTATTTCCAAGCCCCTATAGTGTCATTTAGATGACAGTTATTAGCCCCCGTTCTACTTTTGAGCATCAAAATGGCTGCAGCGTCTTTAAAACGTTGATAACAATGGCAATGATGCGACCATTGAGGGAGGTCCATTATCATTTCTATATACTTTTAGACGTTCAAGAGAGGCCTGGAGTTTTTTTTACTCAAACCTCCCGCGGGCTGGATTAAATAGGCTCGTAGTCCGGATCCGGCCCGCAGGCCATATGTTTCCCACCCATGTTGTAGTCCAATGTTAAACAGTCATTGTCTTAAACCCAAACATAATTACGGGGTAGGATGGTCAACCTCTCCTTCTACTAGTGAGAGAGATTGGTTTCTGACAGGTGATGTATGCTGAGAAAGATGATACTTTTTCTGATATTTTTAACTGGCAGTAATGCTATTATTGTATGATTAGCCCTTGACTTGTACACCTGACCAATGCATTATAGTAATAATAGTTATAGGCAGTCTAAAGGGAGGAGGTCAGAGACCTGGCAGTGTGGTACCAGGACAACAACCTCTCCCTCAACGTCAGCAAGACAAAGGAGCTGATCATGGACTACAGGAAACGGCGGGGCGAGCACACCCCTATCCACATCGATGGGGCTGTAGTGGAGTGGGTCGAGAGCTTCAAGTTCCTTTGTGTCCACATCACTAAGGAATTAACATGGTCCATACACACCCACACAGTTGTGAAGAGGGCACGACAGCACCTATTCCCCCTTAGGAGGCTGAAAAGATTTGGCATGTTATTCGTTATTCACTGTGTATTTATTCCTTGTACCACTATTTTTTGTTGTTGTTGATATTTTTGTTTATTTATATCTTTAACTGCGTTGTAGGAAAGGACTTCACTGCATTTCACTGTTAGTCTACACCTGTTGTTTACAAAGCATGTGACAAATAAAATTAGATTTGACAGTAGACAAAATGTCTCCAGGGGGACATTCATCTACACAGGCGAGGTGAATGCCTATCCTTGATGTGAGTCAGCAAAAAAAGGCACTCGAGAATGATAGAAGAATGATACATTCTGTTGACTATAATAAGTAACACATTTCTTTCAATATCCTATACATCACTGTAGCATTCTCCTGTGTCTTGTGGCCCACCACACACTGCTCATCATATGTTATCTGATTTATGGCAAAACATGAAAAGAAACCAAATAATCTAATTTAAAAGTATGTTCACCATCAAACAAACTACTAGCCATTTCGTTAATGCATTAATACAACAATCACAATTAAGAAGGTGTCATAAAGAGGGTTTAAAGCCTGACCTTGCCAAGGAAGGAGGATGATGTCATCTCTCTCTCTCTGGTGAGCTGCTCTGCTAAGTGGGAGATTAATGGCGAGATGATGTCCTGCCATCTCACTTAATGGACCTTGGAGTCATTATTTCCGTTGTGTGCGTAATTCTGCCCAGGCTTATGAGAGGGCAAGAAGCAAACAAAGCAGAAAAACCAATTAGGTGTGGGCAGAACCTTGTACTTAGAGAGTTGGGCCAATGCAGTTTCTGCATTATGATGCATTTACATGACACTTCAACATTCTATGGCAGCCATGTTAGCTCCCCATGAACATTACATGGAGAATATTTATTTATATACAGTATGTCTGTAAATAATTGCATCCTGCACTTGTATGCCGATGATACTTTTGTGTATGCTATTGCCCCCACGGTTGACCAGACGCTATCTGAACTACAGTCTGCCTTCATTGTATTACAAAACAACTTTATTGACCTGAAATTAGTACTGAATGCAGGTAAAACTAAGTATATGTTGTTCTATAGAGCGCATAAAAATAAGTCTGTACTTTGGATGGTGTCCATATTGATCGTGTCCCTGCTTACAAATATCTGGGCATCTGGATAGATTTA